TATTACCTATTATGTCCAATCATAGTTCTTTCTCTGTGTTCGTAGCCAAACTTCCACGGTGAATAGAACCGCGAGCTCCAAGCAACGATGAGCTCTACAACGGAGACCTAACTTCGGCGAAGCACCGAACAAATAGCGACCCAAAATAGAAAGCTTTAACGCTCTAGTTTCGGCGGTGACGAGACCCACTTCATGATTCCGACCAAACTTATGTCTATATCCGGTGAAGAGAGACGTCCAAGAGCCCGACAAGAAGCTTCGCAGCCAACTTCGACGGTTTACTCCACTGGTGATAGCGCGCTCAGACGAACTTGGACGGCTTGCTCCAAATAGCATTTATTAAAATAAATAAACAAGACATGAATGTTAGTGTATGTCCTAAATCAACAAGACATAAATGTGAGGGTATCACTAACCATCAAAATTACGGGGCAGAGCCGGTCCTCGGGCAAGGCGACAAAGGCGGTCGCCTGTGCCTCTAATTTGGAAAAGCCTCAAATTTAGTACCTTATTGCATTATAGGTAGTATGGGTATGAAATATCATCAATTTTCATAATTAAATGTAACTAGCCTTTTAATCAATTAAATGTCACGTCATAATTAAAAAAACAATACACAATCATATATCATGTAAATTTATGATAATAAGTAACTTTTTAAAAAAAATTTATGACAATAAACACGTAGTTATAATATCAATTTATATATGCAATACAATAATTTTTATGAGAAAAATAATTTGTTTTTATCCATTTCCTTCAAAAGAAAATAAGATTTTTTAATATTTAAACAAGAAATTGATTTATTTTATTATTATATTAGTTTTGGTTCACATGCATGCATGATAGTTAAGCCGAGTTAAAACAACCAATTTTTTAACTCATGGATACACTCAAATGTCAAATTGTAATTCAGTCCAGTTCAAACAACAAAATTATGACAGTGATTGAAGTACTTTAATTTATAATTTTACAACTCAAAATGTAAGAAGGTCACATTTACTTTGATCTGAAGTTGAATTTTGATTTTTGTAACTAAGTTGTGTTGAATATTTTAAATTTTTTTAATGTAAATAAGATTGTGCTCTTTATAAAGTACCAAGACCGATTTTTGTTTTGTTTGTTTTCAACCTTAATATATTTTATGTGTTTGTCGTTTGATTTTAATGTAAATTTCGTACTCAAATAATTTTTTTACTTGTGTGAAACCTTATGTAGAAAGGCTCCGCATTTAAAAATTAGGGCCTCTTAAAATTTTGGAAATCTAAGGGCTGACCCAGTTGCAGGGCATGGACTGGCAACCAGTGGAACGACCTCAATTCTTGAGGATACCAATGAATTCAAGGAACTATAGATAAAGAAAAATAATTATATAAAAGCAAGATTTTGAGTCTGTCTCGTGGGCCGCCGGGTTGAGAGAGAGAGGTGAGAGTTTGAGAGAGAGAGAGGTGAGAGTGAAGAAGGGGGTATTTTTGTAATTATTTTAAAAATATAATTTTCAATTTTTTAATTTAACATTAAATAATAGTAAAGTTAAATTTGTCATTTTACAATCCGATTAAGGATACAGATATTAGGACAATGTGATCACTTTTTAAAGTGTAGAGGATTTTCTAAAACAGGATAATTTACTATTAACATTTGAAAGTAATAGAGATTTTATAAAATTAACCCTTATATAAATTCACAAAATAGCGAAATTGAGATAAAAAATCTACATATTAAATTATGTTATCCATGTGGAATCATTATTGAATCTAAGAAATTATGAATAATTATTTATTTGAGATGTCATTTACATGTTATATAACACATGAATATTTTATTTATAATACATATGTTTGATATATATTTCAGTTCTTCATTTGTTGTTTGTTATTGGAAATGGAAATGGAACTGATACTTTAGAATTAAGCATATGTGGTACAATTGAAATCAGACCATTTTTGACATATATGACTTCGTACAAACTTCTCGAATTGTTGCATTCCATGTTTTCGAGTTTGCATTTTATATGCTTTTAACAAACAAAAATTATAAAAATTGATATGAAATTGAGAGAGGTGACTTTAGAAAGCATTGTGATTTTTAACAGACGGTACTGTTGAAAAGCATAATTAGTTCGTGATTTTACTTTGATTGAGTTAGAGCAGATGATTGGAGCTTAGTCACACAATTCATTCAAAGAGACCCACTCTTAAGCCCCAGGTGAATTTGCAATTTGGGAGCGAATTCGTACAAAATTCGCGAATTCAATTTTTATAATTCGCGAATTTGTTTTTTCAATTCGCGATACTTATACGAATTTACTTTATATAGTTAAATTTGTTAGATATGAAACACTAATATTACTATATATGCATTTATTACTTACACTATTAATATATATATATATATATATATATATATATATATATATATATATATATATATTAATTATACATGTTTGAAAATATATTACTAAAAAACTTACCAGTTAGAGGATATTACAAATAAATCATGCATCGATTAGTGAGAAAAATTAGTTTATTTATTAGATATATTATTAATGGAATAAATAATCATGAATATATTTGCATATAAATTTAAACAAATAATATAATTTTATTTAAACCTAATATACAAACGCTCTCAAAATTTTAGATTTTGACACTTTCGCTCCCTTGCTCTCGCTTTCGCTCCTGCACTTACTCTTGCTTCATGTAACTTAGGATTGGAGATTAGATCTATTTGGTTGGTTTTCATGGTTAATTTTCACTTCTTTACTTTCTCCAGATTTTTTACTTTTTGGTAATAAAAAATATATAAATTTAAGCAAATAAAAATATATATGTCATGACTTGATATAATTTTATTTAAACCTAATATACAGACATTCCTGTCGCTCCTGTACTTGCTCCCGCTCCGTGTGACATAAGATTGGAGATTAGATCCGTTAGGTTGGTTTTCATGGTCAATTTTCACTTCTTTACTTTCTCTAGATTTTTCTACTTTTTGGTGATGAAAAATCTATAATTTTTTTTTTATCATTTACCCTTTTCTAGAATTTCTAGTACAAATTTAATCTCATGGCATTGTTTAGAAAATTCTACCTTACATTTAAAAAATATCTCAAGACCGAAGGAGTTAAAATGCCATTGCAAAGTAGATGACTAACGTTCTATTCTAGAATGAGATTATCTTGAAGGGATGTTAGTCTTTTAAAATTTTTACTATATATTATTTTTCATATATACAAATTTCTATTTGATTCCATGAATTGTTTTATGTCTATTTGAATCAGAATTTTAAGAATAATTTTTAATTCTGGATGAATAAAAACATAAAACAATTAATTGTCTAATACAAACATTATAGATTTATTTATTTTATAATATTCTGAATATGATTCACACGTATATATATTTTTTTATTTGCACTCCATCGCTTTTTTTGAAAAATTTAAATATCATAATTAATTTTCAGAAATACACTTGCGACTGTCAAGTATTCAAAATCTATGCTTACTTTTAAAAAGGAATTCTTATTTTATTTATTAAAATTTATCTGCAAGTGAGAAAGGGTGAGTAATAATATAATCTCTTTGAAAAATGCAATGAAAAGTCGCTCATAACAAACACTATTGCTCTCAAAATTGTTGTCCCATTGTTTTGCCTTTATGGTTTCGAATTATTATTATTCTTTCCCTTTTGATTCAAAATTACAAAAAATTAAATTAAATTATTTTTTTCAATTTAATTAATTTTAATTTTAATTTCAAGACTCTAATGCCATACCGCCAAACATAATATAAAAAAAATCTCACAAAATTCATCTAACTCAAACTCTTAAACCAACTTAAAACTAGGGGTGCACACGGTTCAGTTTGGACCGATTTAAGAATTTTTTGGAACCAAATCAATTTAACTGATTCATAAAATTTGGAACCAAACCGAACCATTTGACCAAGGGAACCAAACCGAACCAAATTGTGAAAAACAGATTTGGTTTGGTTCGGTTTCACAGTTTTTTTTTTTTTTTCTTTTTTTTTTGGTTACATAAGTATTCATATTTCAAAATTCACATGCACAACTATAAACCAAACTGCCAATACATTGACAACTATTAATATATTCATAACTATTAATTCATTTTTCTCTATCACTTCTGAAACTAAAGTAAATAAATTCAGAATTGCTAATAATTTAATAAATTTAAAATTACTAGCTTAACATTCAAAATTCAGCCATTATTAAAAAAAAAAAAAAAAAATTGATTCATCTAATAAATTGATAAGACATAAGAGAATTGAGAGTGGACCATAGGATTGTATAATTTAACACACAACATAACGGTTCGGTTTGGTCTAGTTTGGTCCTATAGAATCTCAAACGGTCACCAAATCATATTTTTACGGTTTTATAAATTTAGAACCGTGATCAAACCAAACCAAACTGTTCGGTCCGATTTGAATTTTCAATTTGACTGAATTTTTGTGCATCCCTACTTAAAACTGTGGTTGTGCTTGATTGTCCAATACTATTGCCCAAAGCACAACCAATATTGAAATTGGCATACAAAATTTCAAGTAACAAATTAGTATCACAAATTACTATAGTCCAAAAGCATAACTATTATTAGCAAAATTTCAATATAAAATTGTACCATTATATATTTTATGAGACTCTTAACATTTATCTTCTATTTCAAAAGGTTAAAAAAATACAACTTTACACAAAATTCTTATTCAGCTAAACCCATTTTTTTGGTCGGTCATTTGATTCTTATTTAACTTTACTATTTACAGATTCGGTTGTAACAAAATTTTTAACGGATGATAATGTGACTTAATTTAAACTGCAAGATTAGGTCTTGCTGGGAAAGGATCCATTTCAATTTTGTAGCTTTTGTTCCAATTATTATGCTAAGTGTGTGTATATATATATATAATTTGAAAAAAAGAAATCCATAGAGAGACCGTGATATACTTCCAAGTGGCTCTTATATCGCTTTTAACAGAAATATTGAATCCACTAAACAGTGTACATTACAAAGAGAGAGAGTCTCACAAAAATCCTCAATAGTCCAAACACACTCCACCGCCACCAGAAAAATGTCTCTCCCCCTCACCTCACAGCCATCTCTCGTCTTCTCCCAAAACCCTAACAATCACAGAACACTTCGCTTCTTCTCCTCCAAAACCCCTTCTCTCTCCTTCTCTGTCCTCCCATTCCCAAACCCTAGATCCTCCTCACTCCGCCTCCACTCCACCTTGTCCGGCGACGTCCCCGACCCCATATCCGGCGCACCCCCATCCAGCGGGGGCACATCTGGCGACGGCAAGTCCGACGGCGCCAACGTCGACGAGTGGGGAGACAAAGCCGAGCCCGAGACGGAGCCGTCCACGAGGATGCCCGATGCCGACCCACCGAAGGATGAGGATGAGTGGGGAGGCGTGGGTGTACGGGACGATTATGATATCTCCGGTAATGGTAGTGCGCCCGCTGTTACTGAGCCAACTGTGGAGGATGATAAGCTTGGGGACCTGAAACGGTGCTTGGCGGATACAGTGTACGGCACCGATTTGGGGTTTCGGGCTTCTGGCGAGGTGAGAGCGGAGGTTTTGGAGTTGGTTACTCAGTTGGAGGCGGCGAATCCGACTCCGGCACCGACCGAGGCGACCGAACTTCTTGATGGGAACTGGGTTTTGCTGTAAGTTCATTGTCCAATTCTTCTAATTTCGATGTGTGTGTGAACATTTGTATAGCTGGGCATTGTTTCTTTGTAGATTTATCATTGGTTGAAAGTTTTGATTTTTAACTTAAAATTTGATAGAAAATTTGGACTAGACATGATTCAGTCTAATTATCTTATACTTTATTCTTCTTTATATGCTGATTCAAGAGACAACTTTAACATTCCAAAAGAAACTTTATGCTGTCTCTTAAAATTTGCAAAGGAAACAAAAAGGAAAATGATTATGTCTATGAAGTAAAATGCTAAAACGGCTCAAGCTATGTGCATGTAGGACACGATAATGTGCATAGGATGTCCTCATCAATTCCTTCACTTTAATTAACACGAAGCCGGAAGGCTTGTATTTTCTTAGAATTAGACCAATTACAGTTCCTAGCTGTTTCTGAATGTCATTAGGCCAGGCTACCAAGTTCATAGGACGAGCAACGGAGAATTTTTAGCGGGCGGGCATTTTCAGGGAAGTAGTTTGCTTTTCATTACTCAATGCCGTGGTAAAGGTGACTAAGGCACTAGAAATGGGACTACCTTTCTTTTACGAGAATAGGAACTAGATGACTAATTTAATTTTCATCACATGTTTTGTAACAATTGGAGTTAAATACGATGAAGTTTTGAGCTGGCAAAGATTTGATGATGTCCAAGCAATGTGTTTTTTGTGCAAACTTGACTCTGAAGAGTACATTTGCAATTGTTGGAATTTCCTATGTACATCTATAAAATGAGTTTTGGGGTGAAATAGCAAAAATCTATAATGTTGTTTCTAAGTGCTGGTTAACATATTTAATTGGAGTCGATCAATCAAATAATATTAATAACGCATGGTTGGTATATATAAAAATATATGTATGACCTCGGAATCTTCTTCTTCTTATATCTGCTTGGATCTTTTGAATACACAGAAGGGCTTTAGTTCAAGTGTCTGGCCATGACCTGTTTAATTTTATAACATGATCTAATAATTTTATATCAAAATTATTTTCCTATGTAAATCATTTTAAGTTGAGACAAATCGAGGCTTAATGTGAGTAGATTGTAAATGTCCCTTATTTATTATTCTACTGCAGTTGATCCTGATTTTGCTTTCTGACTTATCAGGTACACAGCATTTTCCGAGTTGGTGCCTCTTCTGGCAGCAGGTACTACACCTTTCTTGAAGGTTCAGAAGATTAGCCAAGAAATTAAAACCAGCAGCCTTACCATAGAGAACTCCACCACATTGTCGAGCACTTTTGCTACTTTCTCCTTCAGTGCAACTGCCACTTTTGAAGTTCGAAGTCCAACAAGAATACAGGTATTACTTATCAGAACCACAAGTGTCGATAATGAATATAATTTTTTCGATGAGATAGCCCCCAGGAAACCCTTCCAAATAAATGTGATAATGAACTACACTAGAACTCCAGTACCCAAAAGATCTTTGTGAATGATGTGTAACTAAGGGATAATGAGAAAATGAGAGTCTGAAATTTTCTCACTGGAATATTTGGAATTTGGGAAAATATCACACATAAATTTGGGAACTTGATCAACTAAATTACCTACCGAAAAAAAACTTAATGAACTATTGGGTAAAGGAGAATGCATGACAGAAAATATGGAACTTTCACAATTTTTGTTAGATTTCATGTATAGGGTATAGCAATCAAAATTTGGTTGTAGTCAATTCAGGTCTTGTCAAAAAAATTGGATACTTCTTTCACATTGAATCAGTGCATTTAATTTGAAGCAAAACTTTGCAGGTTGAATTTAAGGAAGGGTCCCTGAAACCTCCAGAGATCAAGTCAAGCATTGATCTTCCAGAAAATGTGGATATTTTTGGGCAGAAAATCAATTTATTGCCTGTGCAGCAGTCTATCAACCCCCTGCAAGAGGTTGTGGCAAATATAGCACGTACTCTTTCTGGTCAACCTCCTCTTAAGGTTCCCATTCCGGGTGAGCGGACCAAGTCTTGGCTTCTCATTACGTACCTTGACAAGGATCTTCGGATCTCAAGAGGGGATGCTGGTCTTTTTGTGCTTGCGAAAGAAGGGAGTTCGCTTCTATATCAGTAGCCAGGTACCTTGTGTGGACTGCGAACTGTATCACTTGTTTGTTGTCATTCATGCATTTGTATAATTTTGTACATGGTTAAAGAAGTTACTATTTTGGGCCAAAAATAAAAGGGGTCTGAAGTTGCTTTCATCCCTGACATTCTTTGGCTGCTGAGAGATCGAGGGAAAGAAGAATGGATGTTTCAAATTATAAAACAGACAATCTGATCCTAAGTGGTTATATTCCAATTAGTATGTTTTCTAATTATAAAGCATAATATGAACGTACCTTTTCCTGTTGTTTTAATTTTAAAACTAATTATCAGTGATCATCATTTCATAGGTCTCACCTTAGGAGGTGTGTCCTTTGAATCGATTCGATGTGAGAAAGATGTGGAAATGGCTGCAGTAGGATGACGGATGATTATGCATTTGGTGGGCATAGACAGAATTAACCGGTCCAGGGAGCCCCAATGCATTCCCACAAATAATTTGAAGTACAAGTTACCTTTTAACGGAGTAAATGATATTGTGCTGGTTCAGTGAGGTTGTTGTACCCATGGAAGTCCCAACTATTATAGTGTTCTGTACCATGGATATGTATGCGTAATATGTAATAATACTCTGTATAATATTTGTAACTTCAAAGAAATTACTGTATGCTGCATAGGAAATTATTTTGCCTGAATAATGAAGTATATTTTGAAGTCTTCATTAGTTCTTGTGATCTGTTGATCTAGAAGAGAATTTCTCCTTAAAAAGATTTTACTTGTTCCCCCTTCACCATGGACTTGAGGCTAAGATGTCAAGACATGACATCTTCAGTCGGCCTGTCCAGACCATCCGTTGACACCGTTGTTCCCTGATCTTCTTCAAGGATCTGCTGCTCGAAACTTGACCTCTCAATTCTTAGAGAAATAATGTGACGAAGGAGGAGAAGAAATGGTAATTTCTGGTTTCTTGTTCTGTCAAGATCACAAGTTAGCACTGGGAACAGATAATTAAAAGTTAAAAATTTCTTTTGATTTGGATGTGTAATGTTCCATTTTCCATTTTTATTGATTTCGCCTGACATACAGATGAGAGAATATGTGCATTTTGTTCTGAAGTGCAATCTAGAGAAGCATCTTACTGCTTTAGTCAGAAAATTGGTTGTATAGCTTTGCTAAAATGTCATATGCATTGTAAGATGACCATAGGAATTTGGTACCTGGTCACAACTATGATGGTAAGGGTTTAATGGGTAATGCCATAAAAAATAATTTTTGTGCATATCATACCAAATGGCATTATAGATTTGGTTTCAAGAGTTTAACTACTAAATTTTCTTATTTACCATATGGTTGTTCATTGTGACCATGCAATTAGTGTGATTGTTGAGAAACTAAATATAAGTAAAGGAAGAATGGAAGTTTTTTTATTTATTTATTTTTCCTTTTTTTTTTTATTTTTGATTTTTGTTTTTTGTTTTTGTTTTTTGTTTTTTGTTTTTGTTTTTTGTTTTTTGTTTTTTGTTTTTTTGTTTTTGTTTTTGTTTTTTTTTTTTTTTTTTTTTGTTTTTTTTTTTTGTTTGGCATATATTTGGTTGTGAAGATATAAAATTTATGAAATAATTTGAAGAATACTCTTTTTTAAAAAATGTTTCACTGTGGAAAAACTAATTATGTGATTTGTGTAGTAGGACTACATATATATATATATATATATATATATATATATATATATATATATATATATTCTTTTTCTTACTTGGTTTTTTCTTTCATTTTCTATCTATCAAACACCTTGTTCAGACCATCACTTTTACACCTCGAATTTAGGAAGCACGGATACTTCTCCAGAGATGCCGTGGCGGTATTAGACACGTGTCTAGTCCCGATACTCCTCGGATACGCTCGAACATGTGTCCGATACTCTGTAGAAGTATCTGAGTTTTTAATATAAATTTTTTGTTTTTGGATACGGCTGAGTTACGGCTAGGATACGCGGGGATATGGCGGGGTTCATATTGTAATATTTTAAAAGTTGTAGGTTAAAAATTGGGTCAAGTTATAATAAAACAAAATTGCATTTATAACAAGGGGTTCATATTGTAATATTTATAAATTTGTTGGTTAAAAAATGAGGGTCAAGTTATAATAAAATAAACTGCATTTAATACACCTAAATTACCCAATTGATTCCCAAATTCGCCACAATATGCTTAATTGCTCTTTTTTTTTTTTTTTAAAAAAAAAAAATCTTTTCTTGCATTTATTTTTTATTATTATTATTTTTAAAGATTTTAGAGTTAGGGTTTTTCTTTTTCTATGTTTTTCCTACTCTTATTTTGTTAGAACTTCTTCTTGTTTAATTTCTTTACGCTTATTGAAGTGTCAGATATAGGGATGGCAATTTGACCCGCTCCCGCAGTTATTCGCCCTGCCCCGTTTTTGGTGGTTTTGGGGGGCCGCTTAGCTTATTTAGGTAGGAATTGTTTGATTTAATAAAAACCTGCGTGGATTTGGTACGGGGCCGGGGAGAGGTCGCCTCGTCCCGCCCCGTTTAGATAGACAAATTACTTAAGTACCATTATTTCATTTGTATATATATTTCCTACAATATATATTAAGTACCCTATATAACAATATTAAAGTAACAAATGAATTTAATTAGAAGGAAAGTTGCAATGGTGAATAACTTAAAGATGATGGGAAAAAAAAAAGCAAATATATTTCAACAATAAATAAATTATGGTCTTAAATGGGGCGGGGTGGGTACCCGCGGGGGTAAAAATGTTAAACGGTTACGAGGATGGCGGGGATGGGGGCAAGGTTTTTAAACGGTTACGAGGGCGGGGGAGGGTACACCCGCCCAAACCTGCCCCGTTGCCATCCCTAGTCAGATACATCCAGGCCCAAGAAAAGTAGACCCATCTCAGCCCACTGGCGAGCCCAACATCATTGCCCAACCTAGGGAGTAAATGGAGCCTAAAGAATAACTCTCACAATCTATACCAGCAATGCAATGTGTTAAGCCCAAACCGGGATGGGCCCATCAAGCCAAGTACATGAAAGACAATAAAGGAAATTAGGGCAAGAAAGAAAGGTCAATAAATAGAAGGAGGAGAGAATATAGAAAGGGATTTTTTTGTACCTACACCTAATTGGCACCGTCTGTGGAAAACGGCGATATAGATCTCGTAGTTTTCCGATTCGATTCATGACACAGTTACGCTTTGGCACTATGATCGGAGAGCAAATCATGTAACAATAAGAAGGTAATCGGAACAATCGACAGGAAGAGCTTTGGCATCTGGTCAATGCCTTACGTAGAAAAAATACGGGAGTGCGATATGATTCCCTGTGATACCCTCGAATCACGTGTAGGTTGGCCAGACCCACACCCGAAAATACGGGGATATCAAAACAATTTAGTATTTAAACGAACATAGATTACAAGAAGAATAAAAATAGTGAATAAATTGCGGAACAAAATTCTATTAATAAAATAAAACTTCCTTTACACAAATAAATTATATGAATTTAAAATTCTAAAATACAACTCGGGAATTCTATAAGTCAATGACCCCTAAACCATAAACTATTAATCAACCAGTTTTTACATAATATCTAACAATGAATAACAATATTACTTCAAAGTAAACAAGATGAGTAGATGAATGATAGTTTCCCAGCTGCGGATTCTCAACCTCAAGACTGGAACTTCTTATAAACTGAAAAATAAATCGTGAGTTAGATCCACGAGCAAGTTCTTTCTACCAAGCTTCTAAAAACCGATAAATAAAGTATCTCTAACCAAAATCATCCTAATTAAAGTTTTAACCTTTAATATAAGATGATAGACATATATCTAATTAAATAATTATATATAATATAACATCCATTAATGGGTTCATTAATTTTTAAAACCATTAAGTAAGGATTTAATCATAATCATACCTAATCCAATCATCCATTATCTTTCTACTTTTAAAGTGAAACTTCTTTATCCTTAACTCTATTTTTTAAACTATTAATTAACCATTTAAATAATAAATAACGATTCAAGGAATGTTTCCTTTAATCCAAAACCTAATACCCATAAATGTAAAATTTTATTTATTTAAATCACATAGCAAAGATCTATGCCTTGACAAATCGTTCATGTCTTCACCAATATTATTTTATTAATATTATAAAATAATACACTAACCTTTAAATATTAGATTATTCTAATATAAGAATATTAATCACCTTCAACTCGTACACACAATAATCATAGATGTAAATTTAATTATCTAATACACATAGCAATTTATTTCTGCTTTGGCAAATCAACCATGCCTTTACAAATATATTTATTTATACATTGGCAATTCAACCATACCTCCACAAATATATTTATTTATATTTTTAATTAGCAACTCATCCATGCTTCCCATGTATGTAATATATTCATACAAATAATAAGTTAATATATTTTAACCTTTGGCAACTCATCCATACCTCCTATTCAATCAGGTACCAAACTTTAAAATTGACAATAAGATAAATCATACATAGACATTCAATGCAAGTTAAAAACATATAATTGATTTAAATAAACAGTGTGTGGTAGTATATGCCAATACAACCTTATATTCAATCTACCAAGTGATAAACCAATTAACCACTACCATTTCTATTAATAAATAATATGTACATTACACAATCACTTTAATAAAAATATTTTAATCACCACTAATCTAGTGTCCAAAATTAAAAATTATACAAATATCCAAATAACATGTTACATGTTAAATATAAATATTCATAACTATTTGGCCAATACCAAACCAATACAACATTATCTAAATTGGCTAAAACAACTATGGGACCAATACAATACTATTCAAATTGGCTTAAACAATTATGGGATAAGATATATATTTAATCAACACGTTTTATGATGTAATTGGCTAAAATAATTATGGTATAAAATATATGTATATACAAAATTCGTGTTGTCTTCTAGCCCAATTTTGACAAGGTAAACATCCGTTTCACCAAATTTTCGTGAAATCTTCGAATTTTCATTCAACTTACGTGAAGTTTGAGCCGTTTTGACACTCGAGGAAAAAGATACAGATAGAATACTAAAATGGGTTCAAGTTCCCAAAATTGGAGAAGGTTTCCTTGTTGAAGAAATATTCTTCCTTTTCTTCTAATGTACGATATAGGTTAACCAACAAGTCATATAATGTATGATATAGGTTAACCTAAACTCCTCTGTCCTAATGTCTAATTAATTAATTAATTAGAGTAGACTCATATAATCGTATATAACATGTAAACATGATCAAACAATCACCACCCATCAAAGCCATAATTACAGAGGCTATATAACACGATTCAACATAATCATATATATATATATATATATGTATATGCATGTCAATTTCTTTACATGCATTTATCCTATGTCTAGGCGATTAGTAGGCAATAATAGTCTACGATTCTAATACCCAAGGTGTAGAATTTATGGGTTATGAGAGGAGAAATAGAAAAGAACTTGCCTGAAGGTTTCGAAACGAAATCGACATCGCAAACTTCCCAATTCAGATCTGTTCCACAACTCCGGCCACCTTGCCGTCGTCTTCCATAGGTATGGCTTGCTCCTTTTTCCGGCCTCCCTTCTTTTCTTTCTCTTTTATTCTTTTTACTTTTCTTTTCTTCTTTCTCGACCCTCTCTCT